TCCACAGAAAACTATTCTGCGAAAGGATCCATTACGCAAGAGCGGACAAGCGCTGACGAAACAGTTGAAGGGGAAAATAGCGGCAAAAACTGATTCGACAGTCAAGGCGTCAACAGGAGCTATCTACAAGAAATCGGACATGGCGCAAGTGAAAACGTTCCTACCACAAGAGAAAACGCGGAGCGAGAGCAAAAGCCCATAGGCAGAGCCAAATAAGAAATTCCAAAGAATCAGTTCCCCTGAAGTTCCAGAGGATATTGAGTCGGACAAAAAATTACGGCGGGGTGTGGAAATTGCCGATTTTGTGAACCCGGTGGATCAGTTTCAGCACAACCAAACAGTTGTAACCTGAAAGGACACGGTAGCTGGGGGGGGGGGGGGGGGGGGTTCTAAATTTAGCCATCAAAAGAATGAAGCCGAAAAACAGCGGGTCCCAGTTCGATGCCGGAACCAAAAACTCAAGAAGAGATTGTTCTGAAGAAGTGTGAAAAAAAAACGAAGCAAAAGAAATCAGACGACAAACAGAATAAACTGCCAAGACAAACTGCTATTGCAGTTGACAGGGCAACGAACAATCAACGTGAACTTTGGATACCTTGAACAAAGACGTTCACGCGAACTCCACCCCGACAACCAAACAAAAGGCCAAACTACAGACAATCAATTCACAACCACGTCCGGAGGATATCCTAGACAAATTTCAAAACCGTAATTTGGCACCGGCGGAGTGGGAGAATCTTGCAGACCAACTTTTAAAAAGGTAGGTCCAAAAAGTCGCGGACGACCTCAGAGGGAATGTCCAGCCAGCATCCGAAAGGGACACAATGTTTGAGCCTCCTCAGGGGGTTTCTGATGATTCTAGCGCCGAAGATTCAAAAGTAAGACGACGTTCCAGACAAACCAAGAGTAATGAGCCTAAGCAATTTGGAGACCCAGTCAAACATTCCATCTAGGAACTATCGGAGTAGTTATCAGGGGGAGCACCAGTCAAAGCTGCACTCCAGGAATACCGGAAGAGGCTAGCAGACTTTCATGAACGAAGTGACAGGCCCGTAGAGTCGAAATTACGTATACTAGAGAGACATTTCTTCCGGAGAAAATTCGGCTATGCAGCGCTGGACAAAGGAACGGATTGGAATCCTTGCTGGAGAATAGACCTCGAAGTAAACTAAGAATTGAAAATCCAAATCACTAATCTTCCAAATTCAAAAACTATCTGTGAATTGAGTGCAATAAACTGTTTATAACATAAATGATTTCTTATTTTGAAAAATTTATTTTCCTCTTGAGGGGGGTATGTCATACTGCTAATGCAATAGCAGTAATTGAATTATGCAATACCAACCTTCAGTGGTATTATTATTAAGATGTGTCCAAGGTCATGTGTGCAGTGACAATGGCACACAGCTGAGAACTCAGAGTTTTGATTCTGCAGTATCACTCTCAGTGACTAATTTTAGAAAAAGAAGAAAACTTAATTCATGTAAATCAGAATACATTCTTGAACTACCATTAGTTTTCACACGATAATGCTTAGGATATCACAAAAGGATTCCGCTTACAATGCAGAGAATGCACAGTTTGGCCTCAGTAATGGTAGCGATAATTGTTTTTTTACACATCAAGCAAACTTGCAGAAATGTTGTACACTTAATTACTTATATTGTTAGAAAATTTCAAATACTTTTTTTGGCTCTTTTTCCTTTTCCCCCCACCTGCTAATTTTTATATTTGAAATTACTAATCACTTTGTCCGATTGTCATGAAAATTGACATGCAGACTAATTAGGCCATGACAAACATATTTGGTCTTATAATTAACCTCGTAAAACCACTCGTTAGACCATAAATTTCATGTTTGAGTGTGGTGGGGGGGGGGGGGGGGGAGGAAAAAGAGCCCTTTTTTTCTGGATATTCAATTATGAGCGTTTGAAAACGTTTCAAGAAAAAATATTAAAGATCGCGCAAAATAAGCAAACTTTCTTTAATCAGCGCTTTTATAAGAGCTTTTTTTCTTTGCAATTGAAAAGCTTGCTGATACATGAAAAACTTATTTACTTTCCGAAGAACTGTAGGTCTGTACTCGTTTTTAGGATCAATTTACCAATCTTTTCGATTCTAATTGAACCAAATTTTCCTGCATGAGAATTATTGAGTAAAAAAGTAGCTACAAAAACAGCATTTGAACAAATATTGCAAAAGACCACAAAAAATCCCTCAATCAAATCTAAGCCCAAGTTAATTATTTCTTCAAAATGAATATGAAATTTCAAAAAGCAAGTGAGCAAACTTCTTTGAACCCTTAATTTAGTGTATAAAAAATAATCAACCGTGGATATATTTTTCCGAAATCGAATTTTTAATAAATTTTTGAAGAGCCTCCGTAGCTTTTTCGGAAATTGGCGAGGAAAGAGATGCATTTTTTCAGCCCATAAGTTAGTGCTTAGACTGTCATCAACCGCTGATATTTTTTTAATATTTTTTTCCAACTGTCTCAGCTTTTTCAGAAATTGGCGTGGAAAGATAATTATTTCCTCAAATTGATTTTGAAAAATTTAAAACAGACTTGAGCCATTTTTCCAGCTCATAAGTTAGTCCTTAGACAATAATCAACGGCGAATAATTTTTTCCAAAATCAAATTCTTGATTTTAAAATTTTTTTCCGATTGCATCAAACTTTTTGCGTCAATGTTTCTAGGAGAACTGAATTAGTGACCCGGAATTAACCGCGTCAAGTTTCTACGATAATTGATACAGTGACTCTTAATTAAGGAAGTGCATCTTATCTTTTTGCAGAGCAGAAATCAATTTGTTCAACAAATTTAGTATGAGGTCGAGAATTTCGGTTAATTCCAAAGGCGTGGGCAAGATTTCTCTGATGGGCTCAAAATATTTAGTAATTTTATAGGACAGCTATATGGATTGGTTTGAGTTCTGCCAATCTTCTACGTTCCTGGAGAAATGGATGTCGTAAAATAGTACCAAATATGGAAGTAATGAAGTGAATGACAGTCGCTTCTGGTTATAAGGAAATGATGTGCAGAAAATTTTCGCTCGTTTCTATTTGCCTATTGCAAGTGACCAAACATTAGCGAACTGCAAAAAAATCTTGAAAACATCAATCACTATTCTACTTGTTATTTAAATTGTACTTAAAAACGACAGCGCTTTATTTTAAAAGCCTGAAAACAAAAACGCCTTTCAAAATGTCTGTCTCATGGCGCTCTCTCTTTGTATAAGATTTCTTAGTTTGTAATTCCGTTCTTGTAATGACTTCACCTGCAAACAACTTATTATGATTTTTTAAAAATATTTATTTATTTATTTATGTATGAAACCCAACTATTCCTTCACCAATCACTACACTATTCTACTTGTTATAAAAGTTGTACTTAAAAACGCCACCTTCTTCTAATTTTTATCTATATATATACATATGTATGATCCGTTTTTATACATTTTATAACAGCAACCACATTCTCACCTAATTTTGTATCTAAGCTTATTTTCAGTTTCTTGTTTTTCTGAATCTACTCAATTTTACCTAAAATATACTGTGTTCTATACTTTTCTCTAGTGTCATCTTAGCCAAAAATCTAGAGCGCAAAAGCTTAGATAGATTGATTTGGAATCTTTTGTATAAAGACAAGACTGCTTGTATCAGGGCAGAACCGTGAAATATCTGACAGTCCTTAAAGTTTGGCTATAAGTCATCTGTTTTTTAAAAAAAGTTGATGAAGTCTTTTATTTTACCTATTAACCGATATTTTATGCCTTGATATACAAACAGTCTTGTCAACGTCTACCAGCGTTTTAATATTATCATATAGCTAGTCCCCAGTTTTTTTTCGAACAATTTCTGAGCCAGGTTAAAGCTGCTTCCGCGTTAAAAGAACGAAAAACATCTCCTAAAATTTTTCCTAATTTGAATAAAATAAAAAATTTCAAAACTCCATTTGATTTTAAAAAACACGGTTACAGGTGAAACATCAAAAATTGGTTTATAATTTTAGCTCCATAATTTAAGGTGGTTCGGTAAAATTGCTAGAGAAGTGTCCATAATTTTCATTTGATTTCAAAAAACTTCATTCAAAACTGGCTAAAAATTTATTTAAAACTCAAATGACAAAAAGACTTCAGCTAGCGCAAAAATTCCATTCCTTCTTCTCAAAATGAATTTGAAAATTCTTTAAACATGCATACTTTATATAGAAGCCAAGTAATCCCTAAAATGAGTTGTGATTGCTCACAAACTTTTTTTAAGTTCAATTTTTTTTCTTCAATCAAATGGAATATGTTCTCTACGAACTTATGTTTTACACCTACATGAAGTTAAAAGTCTCATCTATTGGGAAGTATTTGTCAATGACTTTACCTCACTACTGATAAAATTCAATTATATGGTTCAAAATTGGTGCAAAATTTTTTTGAAAGCTAATATGCCCCGTACCGAATTTTTCTCACAATTCACGTCTAATCATGCAATTTTCAGACACTAACTGTTTTCCAACTCTGTGCATATCTGTTTCACATGTGATCTGTTCTGCCGTTTGCAGAGTATACCTGGGTCAGACATGATTACACCTGAACAGACATGACTATACTTAGTGACACATGACTATACCTGGTCAGACATAACTATAACTGGTCAGAAATGACTATACCTGAATCAGACATGACTATACTTGGTCAGACATGATTATAGTTGCTTCATGTCTGATCGTGTAAGAAAACTTAGCGCCATGTAACGGCAGAATCGCAGATAGTTATAATGTAGTCCACTTTAGTTTTACGATAGAACTACAAGCCTGCAGGGTGTCTCGATAAGGCAAAGAATTGAATTGACGGCCTATTTTTAATTATTTGCCTTGATCTTGTATGAGTTATTTCGGGAGCGATCTAGCTCCCAATTCAGTCGGATAGCTTAAAAGTTTTGTGGTCCGAGCTGTTGGTATTTTGTTGTGTCTGAGGCATGTAGAAGAAGATCGTTTGTTTCAGTTATCGCTTCTCGGCCTTTTGGCTAATATCATGTGTAGTATCTGTTCTTGTCAGCTTAATATCTGACACGCTGAGTATTTCCTGATGCCAATAATAAACTGATTTTTGCTTCTCGAGTTAATACCCATGCTTGCTTCAGTTGACTCACGGATTGTCCTGGTCTTACATTACCATCATGATAAGTCTGCTTCAGGTCTGATCATGTAATTTCAGGCATGATCATGTCTGCTTAAGGTCTGATCATGTAATTTCTGGCACGATCATGTCTGGTCCAGGTGTGATCACGTAAAGTCAGATATGATCATGTCTGCTTAAGGTCTGATTATGTAATTTCTGGCACGATCATGTCTGGTCCAGGTATGATCGTGTAAAGTCAGGTCTGATCATGTCTGCTTCAGGTCTGATCATGTAATTTCCGACATGAACATGCCTGGTCCAGATCGACTTCAAGTCTGATCATAATTGACTCAAGATCTGATTTTTTTTCATAAATATCATGTCTAGTACTTGTCTGTTTCAGACATGTACAGGGAAAAAAAGACATGCCACAAGACTGATACAGATATGGATTTTGTATTTTTTTTCGATGTCCAAATTTGAATTTAACTACAAATCTCACTTTTTAAATCCAATTAGAGGGTTAGATTTTTATTTAACAAATACTTTTTCGTCAAAAATCAATAACTTTTTTGTGAAGCACAAGAAAGTTGTTTTCTAATCATATAAAAATTCATTAAAAAAACTGAACAAAAAATTCGTGAAAATTATTAAATTAAATCAAATTCCGATTCAAAATTAGGTAATAAAACCATAAATATAGCGGCAATTTTTTTTCAAAAATCAAAAAAATATCCAAAATTACTTCTTTGAAAGGAATGATATTGAAGAAAAAATTGTTGGAACGAAAGGTTTTTTCTTAAAATTACCTCATACTTTCCATGGTTTTTTTTGGTTCAAAACTACGTCTGAAAGTCGGTTGAAAATTTTCAATGAAAACCGGATTGAGGTCTAAAACATAGTTTTAAGGTCATCAAATTCAGTTAAACCTTGCTTGCCTTGAAGATTACACAAATCTAAGTAATCATCAGTTTTTGTATTCTAAGAATTGGGCTCTTAAAGATTGGTCATTGTAGATCGAATTTGGCCCTGAATTACGGCGTAAAACCTTGAAGTTTTTTTCTTGAGGTCGAAATCAGAACTAAAAAAGTTTCGGTATCATCTTTTACATCGCCATATAATAATTTTTCTACTCTGATTTTCTTTTATTTTCAGCAAAAAATTAGATTTATTGGCTCAATTCAGCAAGTTTATTTCGATATAGGAAAATAAACAACTTAAATAATTCAAATTTTTTCCGGGAAAGAAGTTTTTACCCTTATCCTTACTTACAACTCCTAAATATCTAGTTTTATTCTCCTTCTTCAATTAGGCCCATTCTGTCAGCTAGAGTCGATTAAAACAGGCAGTTTGTTTTTTCTTACATTTCTTATCGTGACAACCTGGTTTTTCTCTGATAATAAACAGTTGACAGTCTCAAATGGTCAATCAGAAGCTCAAAATTGTTTCTATGTTTCCTTAACTAGGTTTCGTGTGTTTCCCAACTATATTTCGGCAAGAATATTGTAGATAAACTGCATTGACATATCAAGCTTAAATTCGACAAAAAAGCATAATAAAGTTTTTCAAACACCTTTTTGTTGCAGAAAAGCCATCAAGCCATATATAAAAAGTTATATTTTATATGATAGCTTGGTGGAAATTTCAAACCTTACTTTCAATGGTGACAAAAAATGTAATTCACGATTAAAAGTAAGGATTGAAACTTCCAGAGAATTGTAGCTTGATGACTTTTCCACAAAAAAACGGTGTTTGAAATTTTTTTTTATGTTATGCTTTTTTGCCAAATTTAGGCTTAATATACCAATGAAAAACACAGTTTTTCTGCAAGCTTCTTGCATTTAACCTATAGATTTTCTTTATAGAAAAAATCCTTTGGATAAATTTGCTTTCAAGCAGGATCAAAACATTTGTATTTTCTATCAAAACTAACATGGAGGTTCAGGCCTGCATTCCTAGAATTCCCCTCGAAGTCCAGAGTAATCCTAGCAAGATTTTGACATGGTTTTTTCCCTGATCAGGCCTGGCGCCAGCGATGGATTTCTATGGCCACGTAAACCGGGAAATGTTACGAATGGTTGTAATTTATATATTGTATCTGTTCAACGAAACTTTTCGGTAGAAAGCTTAAGTACATAGCCACGTCGCTATGGTTACCCAAGTTGTCTTACTTTCTAAAAAAGTATGGAAAATGTAGTCTAGGTTGTTTTTTTCAGTCAGCTTACGACTTTTAAACTAAATTAAATTTTGTTTTTACCCATCTGAAAATTTTTATTGTCTGAAGCTCAATGTAAGTAAATTTTTTGGTCAGTTTGGTATAGTTAACGCGCGATATATTGCAATCGCACAACACATTTCAGAGGCAAAATAAAAGGCCACTCATTTGGTCTTTTATTGGGATACGAGAAGTTAAACACAATCCTTTGTATTATAAATAGCGTATGAAAACAAAACAAAAAATTTTTTTGTTGCATTTCATCAGGTTTTTCAATAACATAATTTACTTGGTCGTAAATTGCAGTCTGCGTTTTCCATGCTTTGCGCAGATATTCGAGCAGTCTTGTTTCCTTCTTTCTAAACCTTGAATTTTCTTCTTCCGCGTTATAGTTTCTGCTCCAATCAAATAGTAGATTTTATAGATCGTGGCATGGTATGTAGCTCCAGTGTTGATTCTATGTTTTTTTTCATAGACAAAATTTGTAACTGGGCCCTGTCGGTCCAAACTTGGTATGCGTGGCCTTTTCACCGAAAATGGCAAAAGGTGTCAGATAAATCTCCAAAAAAAAGAAAAAAAAATTGTCAAAAAAAATTCATACTCAGAAATAATTTTAACAAGACTGCATGTATATCAGGACAAAGCTCTGAATATTCTGGCTGCCCGCTACTTGGTATCAATAGTTGGTTTTGGACAATATCATGAGTTCAATTGTTTTATGCGACCGATTAGCTTGCCTCATTTCATTTTGGAACATTTTGTTGTGTCGTTAGTTTGCCGCGCATAAATCAATTGCATTAGGCTTTCGGCACCACAATTAAAATTTTCACAACGCGCATAAATTAGTTCAGAGCAAAGGCAAGTTGATAGTTATCAGACCCACAATTTTTAAACTCAAACCCACAAAATTAAAACCAGGGTCTCTATATCTTCATTGGGGTATGAAAAAATTTCATTCACAATTATGATTTCGATCGGCAAAAATTGACTGAATATAAAAAACCACCGCAAGCATAAAAATTCCGAATGTCCTCGATAGTTGGAACAACTACCCAATTCTGAAAGTATTCATTCGTTAGTTTAAAAGTTCACAGCCTATACAAGCTCTTTTTTATCTAGAAGGAAACTATCACTAAGTACGGCCGAATACAAAATTACGATGAAGTTTTGCAACGCCTTCTAAATGAGAAACCTAAAGCGTAACAGAGGTGGTTTTGAATACCATTAAAATAAGCCGGAAAATAATTATTACTTTTTTCAATTCATGACTGTTGTTTTCCTCCCAACTTTTTTGTTTCATTTGAAGGTTTTATAGCATTCTGTTTTTGTGGTTGCAATTTTTTCACTGAGATATTCAAGCTAAGACGTGTGACTAAAACGCTGAAATTGATTTGAGGAAAAAACAACCCAATTCCAAAAAGTCTGTCATTTTTGGAACAATTATACTACTAAAATCCTCTAAACTAAAAAAATCTCGATTGTTTTTCCATATTATGTTTCAATTCTCAAATTTTAAAAAGATATCATAGGAAAAACATTTTTCAGATACTATCAAAACATTTTCCTTATTAAACGTTTTACTAAGAAGTTGAATTCATTTAGAAAACATCCCAAGGCCTAAAATTTCCTGATTTTTTTCATAAGTTGGAACAGTAACCACTTTCCAAAATCAATTGAATTGCAAAAAAATCACTGCTTTCAAAAATAGTATTTCAGGTCCATACTATACTTCAATTTCTTAAATTTTCTCATGTGAAGTTCCTCATCCAAATTTCCTCTTGTAAACCTGTAAGGAAACTTTCAATAATTAGGTTTATTTTTTTTTATAAGTTTTCATTCACTTTATGGTAATGATAACGTTTTTCGCCGTAATTTCAGGTTTCAATTTGATGTGAGAATCCCAAAGTGAAAATCCGGCAACAAAATCAAGTTTTTATCATTATTTTTCATCTTTCCCTGACCTGAATAAAAAATGTGTTTTGCACTTTTTTCTTTTATTTATTATCAGTTTTATTTGAAGCTAAACATCAATTCAATTCATATGATTATTTGAATTCTATTCAAATAGTTTTTCCTTAAAACTGTTTTAGGCAGGTTGATTTATTATATATTCAAATTGTGTTATGCAAATCATGAGTTTGACTGGAAAAATCTGTAATACCTTAAATTTCAGCAAATTTTAAGTGAAATTTTCTTCACTAACACGAAAATTAAATTGCCCAAAAAAAGCTTTTAAAAAAGTCTGGTAACATGATTGCCTTTTCAGTTTTCGATGTTCTGACAGTAATAAGAAGTTCGACAAACGGTTTCTGAAAACTTTAAGCGGCTTTACTGATAATAGTGTACATAAATCAAAAATATGAATACTTCTACGAACTGTTTTCTTCGTTAAGTAGCAATAAAACTGAAAAAAAAGAACTTTACCTGATCCCTTTTAGATTTATTAAAGACTGAAAGATTTTTTTTGAACCAAAGAGTAGTAACATTGGATGATTAGAGCATCAAATGATTTTAAAAATGTCTAAATTGGCGCAAAATTTTGAGCCCGAGAACATATTTTCAGTTATTGTTTTCCAGATTCGAAACAAATACATCATAGTAGAAAAAATTGTAAAGTACAGTCTGCTCGTATTAGGACGAAATCATCGATGTTACGACTAGCATATCCGACTTACATGTCAATTACAAAATGATACATTTTGCGTATAATACACACATTTTTTAGATCATTTAGACTTTCCTAAATTCAATTCAATTTCGAACAGATTTTGGGCGGCCTCTGCAAAGCATTAATAAAAATTTGGAAATTTCTGCAAAAGATTTTGCTGAAAGCCATATAAGACAATTCACTAGTTTCTTTT